GGCAGCGGCAGCGCAGGCTCTGTCCGTCCGTCCGTGCGGCTCGGGGTCCGCCCGGGGCTGTGGCGAGAGCGGGCGCCCGGCTCCCTCCCCCGCCCGCCGCCGCTGTGATTGGGTGGAAGATGGCGCTGGGCGGATGGAAATCCTAATGACAGTCTCCAAATTCGCCTCCATCTGTACCATGGTAGGTGCGGGGAGCGCGCGGCGGCGGCCGTGGGGCCTAGCGCGCTCCTCGCGGCCGGGCGGGCGGGCGGTTGGTTGGCCGGGGCGAGGAGGGGGTGGGGGCCCGGCCGCGGGGGAGGGGAAGTGGCGCCGGCGAGCGCGGCTGCGGGCGGCCGATTAGGGCAGTGGCTGCGAGGCGATTAGCGCTGGACGTGGTGAGTGGGCGGGCTCCGGGCTGCTTCCCCTGGGGCTGAGGCGGAAGGCGAGGGCAGGTGGGCGCGCGCTGGCCGCCCGGAGTCGCTGCTCGGCGGGGCCGGGGTCGGTGCGAGGGACGCCGAGCGCGCGGGCTCCATTTTAGCCTGGCTGGGCGCTACGCGGGGAGGTGTCCCTGTTCGGGGGTGGGGGTGGGGGGGTCCCCGGGAGGCAGGAAGGAAGGGTCTTATTCCTGCCTGTGGAGAGGACGGAAGTCAAGTGCAGATTTCCTCTGCGCGGCTCGGGAGGGGGCGTCCTCCGAGCCTCCGCTCGGGGGAAGGGGGTGTGTAGGAAGGTGGCAACTTTAACTAAGTGCCATTGACATTTTTTCCATTTTCTACTCTTTCTGAGGAATGAGGTTTCCCATTCCCAGCCATGTGTCCAGGTGGCAGTCTTGTCTCTGGGAATCCACATGAATCTTGAAGAGCAGCATTTCCTTTCTTGTCATTTGTTTACTTCAATACACCAAACACATCTGTGTGTGACTTAGTCCTTCTGCCCAGAGACGGGCTGCAAGGGTTACTGCGTTTGTTTTATCACGGCTTTTAGGTGCATTGAAAGGGAAGGGTGTTAATGCCCGTTGAAAGTCCAGAATGAAGCAAAATATGGGTGTGTTTAAAACTTAAAGTGTTTCTGTGACTTGGCCAAAAGGACTACGGTGTTGTGCAAAATGGGACAGTTTGCTTGATTAGCTCCTGATGAGCTGATGTCTAGGGATCATAATTATGAATTATCCCCCCAGAAAGTTATTCATTGTAACGTGGGCCTAGTGGTTATGTTATTAAAGACTAAAGAAATCTTTCCTTCTGTTACATGTCTCACTAGCTCTTTGTGTGAATCTGGTTGTACTTGGAGATCCCCAGGCCACCTTTGGATCTGAAGTAGTTAATTTTATATGTCTTTCTTTAAGGAGTGGAGAATGAGATTGGAAAGGCGCTTTAAAAGTACAGTCTATACCGCATGGCGAGGAACAGTATAAAAAAAGGGCTGAAATCAGGTGGGCTTCAAATCTACAGTATAGTCATGCGCTGCATAATGTCTGTTTGGGCAACATCTGACCTCATGTACATCGTGGTCACATAAGGTTGTAATAGAGTTCGGAAATCCCGATTGGAGAATGGGACGTAGCAGATGTAACCGGACATAGCGAACACAACAGCTTCCTGCACGCAACACGTATATCTCCTGTCTTGTATACAAGGCAATCGCGCTGCCAGGCGTATAGTGGTACAGTACATATATAACCTATGTTACATATGCCTTGATAGTGACAATAAACACCTATGTTATTGGCTTATGTATGTACTGTACTATACTTTCTATCGGTATTTTAATGTGAACTTTCCATACTTAAAAATAAAAAATTTACAGTGTAATAGTGTATGCTTCAACCGGTAGACAGCAGCATCCGGTCTCCTGTATCGCGTCTCTTGAGTGTTGTAGCGTTCTCTCTAATTTGCTTTCGAAAATGTTACCATAAAGTACATCATGGCTTCCATATGCAGCAAAACCAGTGGTAGTGATAGCAGCAGCAAGAGGCAAAGGAGGAGTATCAGTTTGGAAGTAAAACAAAAGGTTATTAAACAACATCAAGTTGGAAAATCAGTGAATGCCATTACTTGCGATTTAGGCATGTTTGCACAACGTCCAAATCACAAAACGTCCTATTTCACAGAATGTATTGTGGATGTTAAGCGATGTATGACGGTATTAGAGAAATCTTATGGAAGAATAAATCCTCAAAGAATCCATTTCCCCAAATGGATGCTTGTTCTTTCTCACAATTTACATTTTAGAAAAGCATTGGTATTAAAGGGATTATATGAAAACGATTCTAGAGGATTGTTTGGACCAATTATTTTTAGATACGCCAATTATTATCTTAATCTGTTACAAACGGACTGTGATAATGAAGTGTTTTAAAGTGATAACTTTGCCAAATTGCTGAGCTTCACAAATGGTTAGGTTGTAGTTCATTGTCAAAGTTTACAGTTTCAGGAACTTGAGTGATGTGTTACTCTTTACTAACCATTCTTTCATTCACTCGCTCAAGTATATATTTAGCACCTATGAGTTGGAAATGGGTTTTGGTTAAGTGCAAGAAAAGGAGCCTTGGTGATGTGGTGGTTAAGTGCTAGACTGCTAACTGAAAGGTTTGAGGTTTGAACCCACCGGCTGCTCCGCAGGAGAAAGATGTGGCAGTCTGCTTCCATAAAGATTACAGTCTTGGAAACCCCCGGGTGGTTCTGCTCTGTCCTGCGGGGTTGCTATGAGTTGGAATTGACTCGATGGCAGTGGCTTGAGTGCAAGAGGCTTTGCTGAGTGTTGAGGATACAGCATACAGCAGTGATCAAGGTAAAGTCCTTGCTTTCATGGTGTTTTATATTCTAGTTGAGGGAGACAAACAACATTTAAATAAACTTTCTAATAAGTATGTGCTGTAATCAGATTAGGAAAGGAGGATACAGAGATTTGCCAAGGTCATACAGGGAGTAAATGGGTTGCTGATCTCAATATCAGTCTGATAATTGACCCCAAAGCTCTTTCTGTGGTTCCCACCCAGGTGCATTTGTTGCATGTGCGGTGTGTGTGTATTGGCAAATACAGAAGTGGCAGTGCCTGGCCAAATGTACTTCCAAAAGTAGTGTTAAAAACTAGGTGTATCTGTATTCATATTTTCGACTCTACAGCAGTGGGTTTGGTTATATTCATATTTGGATAAATTATGGTGCACTCGTAAAATAATGCTAAGTGTCTTGAAGTAACCTGCAATCCTTTGTAAAGAAAACTGCAACCCATCTTCCGCTTTGTAGGTCCAGTTTTGCTCGGCTTGGAATTCTTTCCCTGTCTGGCTAGTTCCTCCTTGTCTCCTAAGCAGGAATAACCTAACTTGAATAACCCTACCCCTACCATCCCCATCCTCCATTCTTCTTATATAATTTCGCAACGTTTTGTAATCTCAATAGCATATCATACTTACTGTGTTGTAAATTTTTCTCTTATCTCCTTATTAAATTGTGCAAACTTTAAAAGGAAAGGACTGTCATTCATTTCTCTATCCCTAGCACCTAGGGCAGTTTGATCAGGAGCAGGGACCTCTGCGTGCAGTTAAAAAAGTTTCCCAGAGTACTTCCTTTCTCCTGCTCTTTCAGGACGCTGAGTTTGGTTAAGCATTGATGAGATTGGGTGTGTATGTGGAGTGGTGGAGATACCTAAAGAGAGTGATACTTCTTGGAGAATCAGCCACCGAGAAATATTTAGGATAAATTGAAATTTTATTCTCTAAAAAACCAAAAAACCCGACCAGTTGCTGTGGAGCCGATTCCATCTCATGGCGACCCCATGTGTGTCAGAGTAGAACTGTGCTCCATAGGGTTGTCAATGGCTGATTTTTTGGAAGTAGGTCACCAGACCTTTCTTCTGAGGTGTCTCTGGCTGGGTTTGAACCATCATCCTCTTGGTTAGCAGTCAAGTACATTAAATGTTTGTTCTACCCAGGAACTCCTATAAATAATGTTTACATAATTTTTTCAGTTGTCAAAATAAGGTACCTGGGCAAATATGTAATACCTTAATTAGGTTAAGTAAGTGTGTTAAATCTCTTCAGGTATGTCTTATTCTAGGTCATTATGGTTCTGCTTACATGTGAAAGTTAGTAAAATTTATTTTTCTTAAGTTAGTATTATAGTCTGACCAAAATGAGTGACTATGTTTAGATTGCAGTGAATACATTTGTGAAAGTAACTCCTGAACTGCCTCTTGTTTTCATTTTTCCAGGAAATAATACATTTTGAGTATCACATGGTGTTTTGCCTCTGAAGTAGGTTCAGACTTCAGGGTCTGGCACAGAGTAGCTGCCTAGTAGTAAATATTGTATTTAATAATTGTGAACATTGGGAAAAGTGGTAGAATCCAGACAGAGGGCCTATGTTTTGAAAATTGAGATGGAGGTTGTAGAGCAACTTTTGGTGGCCTCTGACTAGAAAGTGATAATATGGGTGGTCTATCATGGCTGTCCGTGGAGCCTCTGGTTGTGATACTGCGGCTCTTCCTATTTCGGTTGAAGGAATATAGTTGGGAGGGGATTGGATAAAGGGGAAAAAGGTCTTGCAGGTGGGTAGGGGTAGAATTAGATCAGGGGCAGCACTGGCACTGCTTGCCCATCCCCAGTCACAAGGGAGTAAGCTAGATCGGTCAGAACATGGTATTCATGAGACCAAGGCCACGCATTAAATCCTTCGACTCTGATAGGTGTTAAAGGTAGTCTCTGGGTTATGAACAGCCGACTTAACGTACAACCTGTAGTTAGGAACTAATCCCCGTAAAGCCTATTGTATTAAAATTTCAAGGTACATACAATGGTTCATAATAACAAATGGCACTCTTTTGTGACGTGCATCAAAACATTATTATTATTACCGTATTATGTTAAAGATGTTTAGTGTATCTGGAAGTGTTTCTTTAATTTTTTTATGCATAGGAAAGTACACTGTATACTATATACTACGACAAACGTTTGACTAATTGACGTTAGATATGAACCGTACTTAACTGTTCCAACTGTTCCAATTTACGTACAAGTTAAACATAAAGACAGATTTAGGAACAGAACTTGTTCGTAATCCAGGGACTGCCTGTACTTTTTGAAAAGCCTGCACCTAGCACAGTGCTCTGCACATTGTAGACCTTAAACTACTTACTGAAGGAAAGTCACAGGTAAAACTGGCTATTTGCCTTTTCTTGTTGCCCTGAGTCTTAGCAGTTCCAAGT